ATGGTGATGGTCTACATCATATTAACTGTTAGTTATAACCACATAAATATCCAAAAAGACATTTTGGGTGATATAACAGTTTTTCTTTTGATGTTCTTATGTACTGAGGAGTCAACAGAATTTATTTTCACCAAGTTCCATCTGAGACTCCATCTGGCCTCGTCATTAACCATGGACACAGCCCACTATGACATGGACATGAGGATATCGTCTTCTTATTTCCATATTAACCATGGACACAGCCCAATATGACATGGACATAAGGATATCGTCTTCTCATTTCCATAGTGGGATACACTTTATACATACACACACACACACACACACACACACAGGATCCCCCAGTGACCACCCATCAAAGAAGCTTTTTGGTCTTTTTGAGACAGGGTCTCCCTGTAGCCCCATCTGTCCTGGAACTCCCAGTAGCCCCAGCTGTCCAGGCTGGCCTTGAACTCACAGAGATCTGCCTGACTCTGCCTCCCTAGTGCTGGGATTAAAGGTGTGCACCACCATGCCCGGCACTTAATTAATCTCTGTGAATTTCATATATTTTATAAAATTTCCACTACCACCCCTATATTCAGACATTTTGGTCCTGCGATCATGTCATTGATAAACAGCGGTGTTTGAACTCCTGTTTTCCTATTTGAATATGCTTCATTTCTTCTAGTTGCCTTAGTGCTCTAGCTACAATGACCAGAATATGTTGACTAAAACAAGTTAATTCCAGAGCTCTTCTCATATTCTGTATTCTTAAAAAGATTTTTCAGATTTTCTTTGGTATATTGTTTTAGAAGTTGACTTATTATGAATACTTTTTATTATCATACTTTCTACTCTTCTTTTAGTTTTAAATATAAGTATTGTTGAATTATAAAGAAAATATTCATAACTATTGAAATAAGTGTAGTGTTGCTTAACATCCTTTTGACGTGCTGTGTCACATTTGTTGATTTCCATTAGGTAAACCAATATTACCTAACAACATCTGGAAGAATCTCAAAGGATGGTGGTGAATAACCCTTTTAAATGTGTACTCCACTCAGCTTGTTAACATTTTGTAAGGATTTTTTGCATCTCCATTCACCAAATAAAATCACCTATAGGATTTGCACATACGTATATGTATGTGTGTGTAAGTATATGTGTGTATCTGTGTGAATACATGTTATGTGTCAAGGCATGTTATATGTGAATGTGTGTTATGTGTGAATACATGTGTATGTGTGTATATGTGCAAATATGTGTGTTTCTATAAGTGTGTGTGTGTGTGTTTTCTTGGATTCATGTAAGGACAATGCTAATGTTACTATATTAATTATGGAACAAAATTCTCTTCAATATTTTTGAGAAATGTAAGTACTGATATTAGTTATTTCTGGCCTTTGATTGCTAGGAGACATTTTATAACCGATTAAATCTTCCAATCTATTATTGGTCTGTTTGAGTTTGTATTTCATCACTATTCAATCATTTTTAGTTGTATACATTCAGAAATTAGTCTTTTACTTTGAGATTATCAAATTGGTACATAAAGCTGTTCATAGTAATCTATAATGATCTTTGTTTCTCTGTGATGTAAGATGTAATATGTACCATTGACTTGTGATTTTATTATGATACACTTACTAAGCCATCTGGTATTTTGTCTGTTTTATTTCTTTTTGATTTTTTGTTTTATTATTTTTATTTTATGCGTATGAGTATAGTGCCTGTATGTGCATAAGTCCATCCATATCATGCAACGCTGGCTGAGGTTTGAAGAAGGCATCAGATACCCTGGAACTGGACTTATGCATGGTTGCTAGCCACAGGTGCTGGGAATTGATCCTGGGTCCTCTGCAAGAGCAGTCAGTGCTCTTAATCTCTGAGCCATCTCTCCAGCCCCTTGTCTGTTTGTTTTTATACTTTACAAGAACTAGTTCTTTTTTGTTCTTGTATATTGTTATATTTTGTTTTATTTATTTCTACTTTGATTTGTAACATATTTTCCTCTTAAATTTGTGCTATTTAAAATATGGATATGGTTCAGTGGTAGAGCATTGGGTTGGCATTCACAAGGCCCTGGGTTTCATCTCCACTGCCACACACACAGATGCACAAAAGCTCACTTGGTATGCTCTTGGAATGTATTCATATGTTCCTTATTTGAGTCTTTCCCTTAGTGTATTGCTACTGTGATAGTCCTTATAGTTGGGGTGTCTCTATTCATTCATTTCAAAACATTTAAAAATGTTCTTTTGTCTTTCTTTTCAAGAATAACTTGTTTAATATCCATATATTTATAAAATTCTCAAAGTTTCTGCTGTTATAGATTTCTACTTGTATTACATTTGGTTAAAGATATATTGAATATGATTTCTAGGAACTACAAATGATAAAAAACATGATATTTCTGTTTCTGAGACTCATTGGGTAAATGCATAGGAACAAGTACTTCATCTCTGTGTCCTCACTCCTCTCAGCAAAAAAAATAAAATAAAAAATATCAGTTTATGCATGTGGGCATTTTACTTCATGGTTTTCTGTTAATTGGTTTTTTTTTAATTTATGGACACATTTCATTATGCAATTTAAAGTATTTATCATTGTTTACATGCAAATAAATTTCATAATAAATATTTCTCATTGAATTCTTCTGTCACAAATCAACAATGCATCCTAAACAAATACTTTCAGTAATTTAGGAACTAGAAAGGTGAAAATAAATTGCATCACAATTCTCTCTTGACCTAAATGAAGACACATTGAAAGATGCAAAATGGACAGTAGAAAATCACTGCTTATAGTCACAAAGCACAAGAAAGACAGGGGACTGTTAAACACATTAGAGGGACATACATTTGAGAGTTGGAGTAGGAGATTCAGAAATTATTCTCTGATGATTAGACCTCCAAAATAGCACTGGTATGAAAATAAGGTCACCAGAATGAATAGATGAGAGTTTGGGCCAAAGGAAGCATAGAAAGGTAGCAGATAAAAAACAGTATTGGAGTGGAGACTCTTATCAATTCAAATTGGTTGCAGGTATCTGTTCATCTACTCTCTCAAATACTATTTATTGAAATGACACAGAGTGTCAGGTGTCAAAAGGATACCCTTCAGTATAAAAGCAAATGTCAAGGTTGAGAATGGATAGAGAAGGACAGATGCATTCAGGAAGGATCTCATTAATTTTTCAAGGCTTAATGATAAGGACTCGAGACTAGCGAGGGTGTTTACAGGCAGTTAGATTTGAATTGTAGAACAGTAACTCTAACTGCAGTGTGACACATGGATAGAAGGCTGGAAGCAGGAGAGCAGAAGGTTTTATAGTCATCAGAGCAGGCAATCCTGGAGAGTGGACATCTGGTCTTTCTTGTGAAGATGTAGAATGTAATGGACACTACTCAACTAGCTCAAATCCTCTCTACAAGGCATGTATGTTCATGTCACAGCTGCCATGAGTCTGAGGAACTAACAATTAACATTTGTGTCCTTAAGTTTACTGAACCCAAGGAAATCGAGCTCCAGTTGATGAACCATATCCACCATCTTAGGGTCTTTCAATGGACAATAAATGACTCTCCTGGAGGTACAAAAGTGGTAGGTCCCCTTTGTCCTCTAGTGATCATTCTATAGTATAATATACGCCAAAGAATTCCAAAGATCCATGCCGAACCCAGACCTCTGTTGAGACAACATCCTTTTTTCCCTTTAATTTGGTTAGCTTTCCTTCGTTCCTTCTTTCTTACCTCACTTTCATAAATATCCAATCTCAGAGTCTGCATTCAGGGAAATTTCATTGAGAGAGAGAGTTCCAACAAGAGATGAATATATCTTAATACAAAGTTTAAAAAGAAATGAATCCAGAGTTCCTAATGCTATCACTGAAAGTTTGAAGGAACTAAGAGAGCAAAACAGTGGGGAAGGGAGATCTGTACACACAATAAAATTGTTTTCATCTCAGCAGAAATGACTTCTCGTTACCAGAGATGGTCTTCTAACTTTGCCCAAAGGATGCACCCTGTAATGTCATCTCTGAGGGCATGTGCTACAAGACAAATCCTTATTCTCCTGAGACCACTCTCACCACCCCACTAGGCAGCTGGATCAATAACTATACTCAGTCCCAGAAACTCTATAAAGTTCAAAATGTGACCTCCTACCCAGCTTCATGATCTGTCATTCCAAGAACATGTGTGATAATGGTGGAATAAACTTCAAGTTTTATCAGATCAGCTTTATAAATATATCCTGACTGTATGCTGAGATCTTTCACCCTTTAAGCTCAGGCAGTGACAAGGCTCTGTTAAGATATTTGCCTGTGACGTGTCACAAAAAGTAATCTGCGGTGAGGGCATCAGAAAGCCTCATCATTTTATGATATGAAAATAATGAAGGAGGGATTCAATGCTCATGGCCATAGGAATACTAGTGTGATTTATCAGTTAAACCCTACTACCCAATCTAGAAGTTGTCAGAAAACATTTATGAACCAAACTGCGAGATGAAAATTTACATGTGAAAGGTAATCATGAGTAGTTCTGTGATCACTCTTCCCTGTTGGTGGGATCTTAGGGTGGAAAAATATCAATGAAATGTGGAATATCAATCCAAAACTCATGAGGGGATCTTGGGTAATGGGGGCCAACAGCAAACACTCAATCGTCAAATGCATTGATAAGTGTGGTCATGCAATTAATAAGATAGTTAAAGCATAAGTCAGAATATCCAGCCCTAAAAATCTCTATGGGCTCAGCTCATACCAATGGGGTGCTTGTTCCTAGGACTGGAGAACAAAAATTGGTTGACACTAGGTAAGAAAAGTGTATGTGATATAACAGTATGATTATGACCTAACATGGGTTAAGATTTCTCCATTGTTTGTTCCTCATTTCTGTTTCCTTGAACACGGCATTATGAATGACAGATTTTTTTCTTCATTTTGTAAATAATCATTACAGAGTCCATTCAAAATGCATTTTTAATCCTTTTTCTGGATTTTGATATAAATTGATTTATTTATCTTCTGGATGAATTTTTCTACTAAACAATCCCGTAATGGCATCTTTCATCTGAGCATTTCTCAAGGTATAGATTAAGGGGTTTAACATGGGAGTTATCATAGTGTAAAACACAGCAACTGCCTTATCAGTAGGTAATGTAACCACAGGTCTCATGTATACAAATATGGCGGGCACAAAGAATAAGACAACCACTGTGATGTGGGAGACACAAGTGGAGAGGGCTTTGCGTCTTACCTCTGCACTGTGGTTTCTTAGGGAACAAAGGATGACAGTATAGGAGCCCAGCAGAAGGAGGAAAATTAACATACTCATAAACCCACTGTTGGAAGCAACAAAGAGTCCCAGAGTGTGGGTATCAGTGCAAACCAATTCAAGCAAAGGGTTTAGATCACACATAAAGTGGTCTATGACATTAGGACCACAGAAAGGTAAATCAATAATGAAGAGGATCTGTATGATCCCATGAAGAAAGCCTCCTGTCCATGACACTCCCACTAGCAGTTTACATATTGGTCTGTTCATGATGGTTGCATAGTGCAGGGGCTTGCAGATGGCCACATAGCGGTCATAGGCCATCACAGTAAGCAGGAGGATCTCAGTAGCTCCAAAGAAATGCTCCCCAAACACTTGGGTCATGCATCCATTGAACGGAATAGTCTTCTTTTCATGGAGTGAATCAAAAATCAATTTAGGGTTATTGACTGAGGAGTAGCAGGCATCGATAAAGGAAAGATAGGCCAGGAAGAAATACATGGGGGAGCCCACCAATCGGCTGTGGGTGATGGTGACCAAAATGAGTACATTTCCCACCACAGATACGATGTAGATGGTCAAGAACACTACAAATACAACCTTCTCCATTTCATGGTTCTGTGTGAGCCCCAGGAGGACAAACTCAGTCACGTTCCTCTTCTTCATCTTCTTCATGTGAAAGTTAATTACATTGCCTGTAAAAAAGATCGTACATCCTCAATTTCATTTAATTCCTGCAATCCCATAATTAAGATCTGGATTCTTAGTTGTGAAACCTTATGATATTATTTACATATTGCAAAAACCAAGTACTTTTTAATTTATCTTACATAAAATGTGTTTTCTGGGTGAAGACATCAACAGAGAATATAAATATGGAAATAAAATCAAAGCATCTCCCATGCACTAATTAGCTTGATGTGACAGAACCCAAAGAGAAGAGCAGATGCAGACACAGAGGCAGCTAGGCCTACATTGTAGGTAGAAGGTTGATGTTACAGTCACCACTAAGACTGTAAATACTTTTGTTCTTACACTTCAAAAATGAGGAAATATGAAAGGTAATTGAGAAAACAAGTGGAAGAATATCAATTATTTTGAAGAACAGGGAAATATGGGCACTAATATAGTAAACTATCTTTGATGTCTTTGCAAAATATGGTTTGGGTTCAACTCACAGTAGACTTCAGAGATTCATAAGTATTAGGCTATTTATCACTGTTTTTTTCCTTACTTAAGAGCCGTATTTATTTTTATAAAAAACATAAATTCAATACACTCTAAATAACCTCTGTGACTGCTATTACTTTATACATTTTAAAGATATGGAAATTTTTAGAAGGATTACTGTTTATGTTTAAGAAAAAAAATGACAATATTAAATAAAAATGTTAAACTTATGTTTTGTAATGTTTTTTCATGACTTTTAATGCTTTTTATTTTTTCAGTCTCTCTTCTAAATCAGCTAGGTGTTTAATATCATTATTTTTTCTACAAATTTACATGTTTCCTTTACATAATATAATTACTTAATGATTCTGTATCAGACAAGTAATGAGGAAATGATGGTGTTATCACACTGAGGTTTTTACTGTTTTTTCTTATTTTTGTCTCTCAGTTTTTAATATCTAATTATATTCCTCAAATTCTTAGAATTAAACCTTATACCTCGTAGTTATCATCCTATATAAATGTTGATTTACTCTTAATTTGCTCATAATAATTCAATTTCACTTGATACTATTTGAAGGATGACTTCAGATGAATACTATTATCAGTAAACATGTAGATGTTGTGCTCAAGGTATGGGTCCCCAAGAATTACCACGGAGTCCAGAGAGCATGCAAAAACAAAGAGTCTTTATTTGGGCTTAAGATAGGGCTCTCAGATCAAACAAACGTGGCAAGTCTCCCTGAGAGCCCCAATTGTAGGGAGTTGAAGCTCTTTATAGGTTTCAGACAAAGGGGGGAGGGGAATGACAGAGTTCCATCTTGATTGGTCCAAAGAGCTCGCTTGTTGGTGTGTGCTACCCTCAGTGCTGTGGGATGTGCTGACTGTTATCTGTGGGGCCAGAAGTCTCTGTTCTTACCATATAAGGCTGTTATGTGCCTGGGCTTGCTTGAACTACAGCCTCCTGGGGAGGGGGTGGTATGTGAGATTACATGTCTGGGCTTGTTCAGGCTTGCCTGAAACAACGAGTCAAAATGGGGTCAATACAGTTTGTCCTTTCAGTCAAGCAATCAAGCAGTTTTTACAGAAGCAAAAAAGAGCATTTAGTCCTGGAGAGTGAGGGTGGTCTCATGGGGTTAAGGGGGCATGCATGGGTTTGTTTTATCTATAGTCTGTAGTCTAGGGCAGGGGGAACTTACAGTTTCTGAGAAACCAAAGCCAGTAAGGCTTCGGCTCTTCATAGACACATATAAGGGGGCATGCATGGGTTTGTTTTATCTATAGTCTGTAGTCTAGGGCAGGTCAAATTCCAAATCTTAAGAAAATGGGTGATGCTGGAGTCTCTAGCTTTCTCTAGTATTGTTAGAATGTAGGTGTCTCAAAGCACTGATGAGTGCTGTTAATAAATGGAAGGGCCAAATGAGAATCTTGGGTCTTCCTCTTACCTTTGGTCCAATCCCTATCCCCTCACACACTTGTCTCATCAACACTCTGTAAAGTAACAAGAGTAATCCTGGGAGGAGGAAAGTGTGTTTAAGTGATGGGACTATTGGTGGGCAAGCACATGGTCCCACACCGAGGGGCATTTGGGGACATAAATCAGGCTC